ATGGGGGTCGTAATGAGGCTGATGTAAAGTTGTAGGTTAATGATGAATTTAATGATGATGGGGGGGGGGAGGGGGAGAGGCATGGGGGTCGTAATGATTGCTGATGTAAAGTTGTAGGTTAATGATGATGGGGGGGGGGGGGGAGAGGCATGGGGGTCGTAATGATGCTGATGTAAAGTTGCAGGTTAATGATGATGGGGGGGGAGGGGGAGAGGCATGGGGGTCGTAATGAGGCTGATGTAAAGTTGTAGGTTAATGATGATGGGGGGGGAGGGGGAGAGGCATGGGGGTCGTAACGATGCTGATGTAAAGTTGTAGGTTAATGATGATGGGGGGGGGGGGAGGGGAGGGGAGAGGCATGGGGGTCGTAATGATGCTGATGTAAAGTTGTAGGTTAATGATGATGGTGATAAGGATGAATATACTGCTGATGGTAAGTTGTAGGTTAATGATGAATTTAATGATGATGGGGGGGAGGGGGAGAGGCATGGGGGTCGTAATGAGGCTGATGTGAAGTTGTAGGTTAATGATGATGAATATACTGGTGATGGTAAGTTGTAGGCTAATGATGGTGATGATAATGATGAATATACTGGTGATGGTAAGTTGTAGGTTAATGATGGTGAATTTAATGATGATGAATATACTGGTGATGTAAAGTTGTAGGTTAATGATGGTGATGATAATGATGATGAATATACTGGTGATGTAAAGTTGTAGGTTAATGATGAATTTAATGATGATGAATTATACTGGTGATGGTAAGTTGTAGGTTAATGATGATGAATTTAATGATGGTGAATTTACTGGTGATGGTAAGTTGTAGGTTAATGATGGTGATGATAATGATGAATATACTGCTGATGTAAAGTTGTAGGTTAATGATGGTGATAATGATGATGAATATACTGGTGATGGTAAGTTGTAGGTTAATGATGGTGATGATAATGATGATGGCTATACTGGTGATGGTGCGTTATAAGTTAATGGTGATGAATATAATGATAATACTTATACGGGTGATGTTGAGTTATATGTTAATGATGGTGACAATAATGATGATGGTTATACTGATGGTGACATCATAGTTAATTATAATTATTGTAATAGTAATCCTAATGTTAATGTGATTACTAATATCAATAACAATGATAATCATAATGTTGATGTTAAGTTAAAAGTTGGTGATTTTAAATATAATGATAATGTTGATAACAATAATTGATAATAAAGATTGTAACAGCAACAGTAATTTTAATATTGATATCAGTATGCAAAAACTAATAACAATAATTATGATGATGTTTATTATGTTATAAGGTAATAAGGATGATTATAATAATGATGAGTATACTGGCAATGGTAATGATGATGGCAATCAATGATAAAGATGGTTATTATAAGTATAATAGTATTGTTAATCACAATGATGATACTACTACTACTACCAGTAGTACTGCTATTAATACTAATAATGATAATGATAATGATAATGATAATGATAAATGATGATTACAGTGATAATGGCAATATTGGTAATAACAACACATTGATAATAATAAGGATAATTATAACAATAATATTAATAATGATACTAATCATAACAACTTTATTGATAACGATAATAATGACAATGATAATGTTAATAATGATAATGCTCCTACTACTTCTACTACATCTAATGATCATACCAAAATAATAATAGAATAATGAAATAATGAAAAGATGCTGATAAAGATGATAGTAATGACCATAAGGATATCAGTAAAGAATAAAAAAAATAAAAATAAAATGAAATGAAAAATAGATTTTAAAAAATAAAAATGAATAAAAAATGAAAATACAAATAATATTAATAGTGATTAATAATAATAATAATAATAACAATAATGATTGAAAATACAAATAATATTAATAGTGATTAATAATAATAATAATAATGATGAATAATAATAAATACACTTACGGTCTGTAGCCTCAAACTCTGGTCTGTCGTGACCTCGTTCTCGACATCATCAAACACGAAGGAATGGGAGAGGCCTCCTAATCCACACCTCGACTTGTCCTTATGCGGGTTAAGAGTGACGAAAACCAGGCCTTTCTCTTGCACTTGGGACTCGAGCCAGACTGCAAAGAGAGAGAGGGATCGCGTGATGATGACGACGATGAAAAATGGATATTGAGGATGATTGTGATTGGTCTCTCTCTCTCTCTCTCTCTCTCTCTATCTATCTATCTCTCTCTCTCTCTCTCTCTCTCTCTCTCTCTCATTTCTCTCTCTCTGATGGCAGTTATTGCAACATTAATGGTAGCAGAGATACATTTGATGGTGATGATGATGATGATATGCAGGCAATACTAATGATGAAAATGGTAATAATGATATTCATAATTCTTTTGATGGTGACGATCATGATGATGATGATAACAATAGATAGGGACTCACTGTAGCACCATTATGTGAAGCCTATTGAAAAATACTTCATAAGTGGCCTCTTTGCACCCCAGTAAGATATAATATATATATATATATATATATATATATATATATATATATATATATCCATCTATCTCTCTCTCTCTCTCTCTCTCTCTCTCTCTCTATCTCTCTCTCCTTATATATATATTATATATATATATATATCTCTATATATATATATCTTATCTTCTACGATTGACGGATAAATCTATTTCAATATCTGTTCGTTCCCTTCTTTCATATTCCCGTTCTTTATTGGCTGTTTTCTTTTCTTTTATCCATTCGTATCAGTAATTCTCTGTCGCTCACTTTTCTCACTTGCACTTGGGTTTAAGAGCCAGCGTAATTCCTTCTCTCTCTCTCTCTTTCTCTATTTCTCTCTCTCTCACCAACTCCTCCCCCCCTCTCTCTCCCTTTCTCATTCTATTTCTTCCTCATTTCACTCTTCTCTTAACTTTCTTTCATCTCCCCTTTCCTCGTCTCTCCCACCTCCTCTTTCCTTAGCCTCACCCTTTCCTCTCCCGTTCATATATATTTTTAAAATCTTTTTCACTTATCTTATATTTTTCTCATCTCTCTCTTCATCTTATTCTTTTCGTTCACTCTGATTTTCTCCCTTTCCCTTCCTTTGCTCACTCTCTCTCTCTCTCATTCCATTAAAAAAAAATCTTTCTTTCACTCCCATCCTTCTTATATTTCTCTATCATCTACATCTCATTTTTTCTCATCTCCATCTTTCTCACCTTTTTCTCATCCTCCATCCTTGTCCTCGTTGTCTCATCTCCATCGTCTTCATCACTCTCTCACCTACACCCTTCTCCTTTATCTCCCATCCCTATCCTCATCTTTTTCTCACCTTCATCCTTTTTCTATTCCTCTCATCGCCATTCTTCTCTCATTTCCATCCTCTTCATCGCTCTCTCATCCACATCCTTCTCCTTTTTCTCTCATACCCATCCTTCTCTCTTTTCTCTCTTACCTCTCCTTCTCCCTTTTCTCTCATGCCTATCTTCTCCTTTTTCTCTCATACCTATCCTTCTCTTTTTTCTCTCATACCTATCCTTCTCCCTTTTCTCTCATACCTATCCTTCTCCTTCTTCTCTCATACCTATCCTTCTTCTCATCCTCACCTTTCTCCTCTTCCTTATCCTTCTCACCTTCCTCTCACCTCCATCCATGTCAGCCCGCCCCCCCCCCCCATCCTTCCTCTTCCCAGCCTCCCTCACCTTCATAATCCAAATAGGGATTCAGAAGACCATGTTTCTCGAGCCCAAGGATCACAGGGGACATGACCCCCCTCTCCTCCGGGATCTCCTCCTCCGCCAGGTCTTGTCTCTCCTGAAGGACCTCCTCCTCCTCCTCCTCCTCCACGTCTAGTCTCTCCGGTAGGACCTCCTCCTCCGCTGCCTCCTCCTCCTCCTCCTCCTTGATCAATTCCTGCTGGAGATCTCGACCCTCTGGTGATTCCATGAGGACGAAGTCGCCAAAGCTCTCAAGCCAAGATTCATAGGCGTCTTCAAGCATGACCTCATTGTCTGGGGAGGAAGATAGGTTGATAATGCAGATGATAAAGATGGTAATAATGATAATGGCGATAATGGTGACGGTAGTAATGATAATAATTATAATAATAATGATAATGATGATAATTTTAATGATAATATTAATGATAATGATAATGATGTTAATGATAATGATGATAAAGATGATTATAATGATAATAAGATTCCTATGTGCAAGGTACATATAACAAGGTAACTCCATTTACACAACCTGTTGAATCCTACAATGAAATACACTTTTTTGCAAGATTATATTGACCTGTTAATGGCAAGGAACTCATTATTATTATTATTATCATAATTTTGTTTTTACTTATCATAGTGATAACAGTGTCGAGTAAATTATACAAATAATTATGTATCTAGCCACATCTGATATCTCACTGTGCACTCTTATCAGCTATAAGTGATGACGTCATTAGAAGGAGGAGGAGGAGAGGAAGAGGAGAAGGAGGAGGAGACGATTGCGATGAAAGAGGAGAAGAAGGAGGAGGAGGAGAATAAGGACAGGAAGAGGAAGATGAAGAAGAAGAAGGAGAATTTGAAGGAAGCAAGAAGATGAAAGGGAAGAAAAATAGAATATGAAGGAAAAGAAGATAAAGAATAATAATTTAAAGATGAAATAGAAGATGATGAAGAAGAAAAAAGTAGAAGGAGAACGAATAGAAGAAGAAAAGAAAAAAAAAGAAGCACCAGCAACAACAGAAGAAGAAGAAGCAGACGAAACTGAAGAAGCATAAGTAGGAGGAGGAGGAGGATTAAGAAGAAAGAACTTAGAAGATGAAAATAGAAGAATATGAAGAGGAATCAACAGATGAGAAAGAAGATGAAGAAGAAAAAGAAAAATAAAGTTGTAGAACATAAAGTACAAAAAAGAAGTAGAAGTGAGGAGAACATATAAAAGAAGAAAAGGAATAAAAAGCAGTAACAACAGAAGAAGAAGAGGCAGAAGAAAGAGAAGTAAAAGAAAAAAATTAGAAGATGAAGAAGATTTTTCAGAATAAATAAAAGATAAAGCAGAAGACAAGGAAGAGGAATTCGAAGAAATGAAAATAGAAGAAGATGATGAAGACGAGGAAGAAGAAGAAAAAGAAACAGGAGAAATAAAAGAAGTACAAGGAGAACAAATGGAAGAAAAAGAAAATAAGAAGCAGACTAAAATAGAGAAGTAAAAGGAGGAGAAAGAGAGGAGGAAGAAGAAGAAGAAGAAGAAAACAGTAGAAGAAAAGATGAGAAAAAAAACATTGTGTTGGCAAATGCGATTTTTTTCACAACGTTCCCGGAGAGAGATAGATAGATAGATAGAGAGAGAGAGAGAGGGAGGAGTGAGAGAGAGAGAGAGAGAGAGAGAGGGAAGGAGAGAGAGAGAGAGAGAGAGAGAGAGAGAGAGAGAGAGAGAGAGAGAGAGAGAGAGAGAGAGAGAGAGAGAGAGAGAGAGAGAGAAGAGAGGGAGAGAGAGAGAGAGAGAGAGAGAGAGAGAGAGAGAGAGAGAGAGAGAGAGAGAGAGAGGAGAGAGAGGAGAGAGAGAGAGAGAGAGAAGAGAGAGAGAAGAGAGAGAAGAGGGGGGGGGGGGGGGAAGGAGGAGAGAGAGAGAGAGAGAGAGAGAGAGAGAGAGAGAGAGAGAGAGGGGGGAAAGGGAGGGAGAGAGAGAGAGAGAGAGAGAGAGAGAGAGAGAGAGAGAGAGAGAGAGAGAGAGAGAGAGAGAGAGAGAGAGAGAGAGAGAGAAGAGAGAGAGAGAGAGAGAGAGAGAGAGAGAGGAGAGAGAGAGAGAGAAGAGAGAGAAGAGAGAGAGAGAGAGAGAGAGAGAGAGAGAGAGAGAGAGAGAGAGAGAGAGAGAGAGACGACGGACTGCTTGATAAAAGGCGATTAGGATAGACAGAAAAGCGGGGTTATTGACTCCCAATACTAATTCAGGCTGGGTGGTTGAAGTAATTTCCCAGCGGTACGTCCGGGCAGTGGAACCAGGTATCAAAAAAAAAAAAAAAAAAAAAAAAAAAAAAAAAAAAAAAAAAAAAAAAAAAAAAAAAAAAAAAAAAAAAAACTGATTTAACGGTTTTAATATCAACTGATTTAACGGTTTTAAATTTCAAAGGATTTAACGGATAAAAATATAAACGGATTTAACGGTTTTAAATATAAACGGATTTAACGGTTTAAATTCAGCGGATTAACGGTTTTAAATATCAACGGATTTAACGGTTTAAATTTTAACGGTTTAATATAACGGATTGAACGGTTTTAAAATTCAGGAGGATTTAACGGATAAAATATAAACGGTTTTAAATATAAACGGATTTAACGGTTTTTAAATATCAACGGATTTAACGGTTTAAATATCAAACGGATTTAACGGTTTTAAATATCGACGGATTTAATTGCCGGTTGACCTTCCAGAAGAAATGATATTGGTGATGGTGATGATGGTGGTTGTGATAATGGTGATAATGCTGATGACTTTAACCTATTTTTGTTCAAAATCATATGAAATAGGAAGTAAGCCATCCAACTAACTTCACCCAAGAATTAAAAGCGTGACGACTCCGCGAAAAGTAAGATCTAGTCGAAGAAAAGGTCATAATGTCAGACCAGCTCGCAAACGATCTCTCGCCAGCGGACAGGAAGAGTAACTGGGCGGAGAGAGCGACAAAGGAGAGATAACCGCGTCCGGCCACGAAGCGGAAGCCCAAGTCGAAACGTTCGGGACGAGTCCTTCGACCAAGAAAATGGGCGCGAAAAAAAAAAAAAAAAAACGAGAGAAAGATAGGAAAACAATGACATGGGAATGATTTTATATAGATTTTACAGAACCTTTTCGAACTGATGAGAATAAAATTTACTACGAGAGATGAAAAAGTTTCGCTGAAAAAAACAGTAACGATGAAATAAAAAACAGTAACGCCGAATTAACGCCGAAAAAAAAAAACAATAACGTAAAAAAACAAAACAAAAAACTAACGCCGAATTAACCCCGAAAAAAAAACAGTAACGACGAATTAAAGATACAGTAACGCAAAAAAAAAAAAAAAAAACAACAACAGTAACGCCGAATTAAAAATACAGTAAC